ACTGAGTTCAAGTCTCTCAACTGACAAAAAATCAGGGCTTAAGCAATGGTTTGCCTCAGCTCCCATGCCCCCAGCCAGCTCTGCTGTCTGCTGTCTGCTCTGCAGGCCAAGGCCACACAGTGTTCCCATGGCATACTTCTGCCTGTGGCCGCCAGGTCACCAGGGGTCAGCCAGCATCACATCTCTTACCACTGGGAATCTCCCTGGTCTCTAAAGGCCAGCCCAGAGCAAGCATGAGTTTTCAGAGCTTGGGCCTTCACTTTCCCTTGCCCCCAGTATCTGCTGGTGTGGGTTTGCCCTTCCCGCTCTCTCCTCACCAGGAGATGCTTTCCTGCAAGGACCAGTGGGTCCAGCCATCCCCAGCCTAGTGCTGGGGACACAGGACCTCCTGACCAGGTACTAAGCACCCATAATCCCCGTGGACCCCAGGCCCTCAGCTCCCATCCCTACCCTGACTCACCAGGTGCTGTCTCTTCTCTCCCAACCTGAAGGATGAATAAATTGGTTTTCAAAAGCTCCCGGTGCCAATTGTTCCCTCGGAGCCGTGCCTCTCTGAAGAGTCTGGGCTCTGCAGTCCCATGCAGCCACTTGTGGCTTAGGCTGGGTGGGAGCCTCCAGGCCTTGGGCTTCAGCCACGGGGAAGGATACCACCCTTGTGTCCTTCACCAAGGACACAGCCTCCTATCTGGGGCGTCCCACTAGGGAGTCCAGGCCACACAGGGTCAGGTTCTGGATGAGAAAGGCACCCTGAGGGAGATATTGTGATTCTCTGGGGAAATGCAACTCATGGGACACACACCTACATGTACAGAGAAGGCCTTGGATGACAGTGGCTAGCAGATGGAGACCCTCATCCAGTATGCCATCAAGCCTGCCTGCTCAGAGGTCAGCAGGGAAGGTCATTATTGCAGATGGAGCCCGAGGGCCGCAGGTTGGAGAATTCTCCCTTCCTTGGGGTGGGAGGTTGGTCTTTCTCATCCACTCAGGCCTTCAGCTGATTCCACAAGGCCCACTCACAGGGCGAATGGCAGTGTGCCCCACCATGGCTGGAGGGCTAGCAAGAGGGAATCCTGAGTTCAACCCCCAAGACCACCCCCAAATCTCTAGTGGTACTCAGCTATCAGCCTCGTGGGTAGCTAGAGTTATGGGCATGAGCTACCAGTGCCTGGCTTCTAGAAGTACTTTCTTTGGGGGCGGTGGTGTGAGTTGTGGGTCTTGAATTCAAGGCCTGGGCGCTGTTCTTTTTTTTTTTTTTTGTCGGTCGTGGGGCTTGAACTCTGGGCCTGGGCGCTGTCCCTCAGCTCTTCAGCTCAAGGTGAGCACTCTACCACTTGAGCTACAGCGCCACTTCTGGTTTTCTGGTGGTTTATTGGAGATAGAAGACTCACGGTCTCTCCTGCCCGGGCTGGCTTTGAACCGCGATCCTCAGATCGCAGCCTCCTGAGTAGCTAGGATTACAGGCGTGAGCCACCAGCACCCGGCTTGGGCGCTGTTCTTGAGCTCTTTTGCTCAAGGTGAGCACGCTACCACTGGAAGCCACTGTACCACTTCCCATTTTTTGGTGGTTAATTGAAGAATCTCATGGACTTTCCTGCCTGGACTGACTTACAGCTGAGATTCTCAGATCTCAACCCCCTGAGTAGGATTATAGACATGAGTCACCAGTGCCCAGTTTAGAGGTACTTTATTTGCCAGTCCTGGGGCTTGAACTTAGGGCCTGGGCGCTGTCCCTGAGCTTTTTTTGCTCAAGGCTAGCATTCTACCACTTGAACCACAGCGCCACTTCTGGCCTTTTCTGTGTATGTGGTTCTGAGGATTGAACCCAGGGCCTCATGCATGCTAGGCGAGCACTGTACCACTGAGCCACCTTCCCAACCCAGCTCTTCTTATCTAATCTTCAGGCCTACTGGTTTTTAAGTGTCAGTCTCATGTGAAAACACAAAATTAGGTTTGAGCAATGTTCTGGCACCCATGGACCTAAGTGACACACATCAGCCCTCAGGGGAGCCCTGGCGAAGTCCCTGGGGTGGTGGTTGTGTGCTCTTGTTCATTCAATTAGCCATCAGTGGGTGTGGGGACGGGAGGGTCAGGTGCCTCTCTTCAGAGGTGACGCAGGCACACAGTGGGGTATGGCTTGTGGGGCTGGGGACAGTTGAGGGAGGGCCTCCTGGTGGGGTTGGAAGGTTCCAGAGAAGAGTTTCTGTTTTCCCTTTAAAGGGCCTCACCTTTGCATTCAGTTCCTCTACAACTGACCTATTCTGTCACACCATTTTTTCCCACCATGTTGGTTATTTTCAAGATAGGATCTCACTTTCTGTCCTAGCTGCCTTGTACCACAGTCCTCTTTGTACTTCCTCTGTGACGGGGATGACATGGCAGGTGGGCACCACCATGCCCAGCCGTTTGCTGAGTCTCTCACACAGAGGATGGCCTTGAACCGCACTCCTCTGGATCTCTGCTTCTTAAGCAGCTAGGGTTATAAGCATGAGCTACTGTCTCTGACCAGAGAAGACGCTTTTGAGGCACTTCACAGCGAAGTCTTATTCTAGTTCCTCTTCCCCCATGCTGCTAAAGAACTAAGATTGTTTCAGGGAAGCATGGTAGGGGGCACTTTGGGCACAAGATTCCAAGCAGCCAAATCTAAGGGAGAAAATACATCCACAGAGGAAAAGTAGGAGGGAGTACAACAGCAGAGGCCAAGACCTCCAGTCCTGGTCCTGGGTAATGCAGACTGGGTGAAGGCAGGTGGGTGGACCAGCTGTCCAGGAGGATTTGCAGCCGTGGTGGGGGAAGGGCTGGGCAATGCGTGAACACCCTGCATCATCACCTCCTGATTGAAGGCCTGTCAGTGCCAGGAGACCCTGCATGCTCCCTGGGGCATGGTGCCCTGGAAGGGCCCAGATGCCCTGCCCAGGACAAGTTCCTTCTCCAACCAGATAGTGAGGGAAGCCAAGAAGGGCTAGGCTGAGAACTGGGGGGGGGGAGGCGGGGGGGGGGGGGGGGGGGTGAAGGAGGTTCAAAGCCAGTCAGGGCAGCAAGTTTTCTTTCTTTTTTTCTTTTTGTCGGTCGTGGGGCCTGAACTCTGGGCCTGGGCGCTGTCCCTCAGCTCTTCAGCTCAAGGCCAGTGTTCTACTACTTGAGCCACAGCGCCACTTCCGGCTTTTTCTGCTTATGTGGTGCTGAGGAATGGAACCCAGGGCCTCATGCATGCAAGGCCAGCGCTCTACCACTGAGCCACCTTCCCAGCCCCGCAGCAAGTTTTCTGTAAGACTCCATCTCCAAAATAGCCAGCGAAGTCAGGCTGGAGGTGTGGCGGGGGGGGGCAGGTGCGGGCCCTGAGTGTCAAGCCCGGTCGCGGGGTGCGGTCGGGTGAGGACGCGGCGGGGGTCCCGCGGCCGAGGGGCGGGGATCGGCGGCCTCGGTGAGGGCCCCCAGGCCCGGGATCCCGGCCGGCTCCGGGCACGGGATCGGGGTCCGGTCACCCCAAGCCCGCGGCGGCGTCCCGGGGCGAGGAGGCCGAAGGGAACCGCCCCGGGGCTCGTGGCTGCCCTTCCCCTAGGCCCGGGCACGCGGCCCCGGGGGTTCGGCGGCCGCGAGGGCCGGGCCCGGCTCCGACCCTCCCGGAGGGGGCGTGGCCGGCGGCCGAGCGCAGCCCGGGGCCGAGCGCAGCGCCGCTCCCGCGATATCCCGCCGGGGCGCGGCGCGCCGTTGCCAAGGGCGACGACGCCGGTCCGCGCAGGCGCAGTGGCCGGGCGCCTCCGCCCGGGCGCCGCGCCTTCCCCTTTAAGCTTGGGCCGACCGCGTCGTCGCTTCATGAATGGAGCCCACGTGACCAAACATCATGTGACGTCTGAGGAGCGGCGGCGGCGGCGGCGGCGGCGGCGGCGGCGGCAGCGGATCCCGAGCCCGGTCCGGCCCGGCCTTCCCAGCGCGCTCGGCCCGGCCCGCGGAGGCGGCCCGACCCCTCAGCCCCGGCCCGGCCCCCTCGCCCCGGCCCTCGCCCCGCGCGGCCCGCAGCGCGCGCGGCCCCGCCCCGGCCCCGCCTCGGCCCGCCCGGGCCCGCAGTGTGGTGAGTGCGCGGGGCCCCGCGGGGGGGCGGGCGGCGCGGCTCCGGGCGGCCCGGCGGGGCGCACGCACCCCGCACGCGGCCCGCGGGGCCCCGGCCGCGCGCTCGGCCTCCGCGGCCGGGGCGGCGGGGAGCGCGGTCCTGGGCCAGGCCGGGGCCGGGCGTGCGCGCGGGGGGCGCGGGGGCGCGGGGGCGCGGGGCGCGCGGGGCGCGGGTCGGCGGGCCGGGCCGGGTGCTGACTCATCAGGTGTCCGCCCGCGGCCCGGCGCCGCCGCCCGGGCGAGCGGCCGAGCGCCCGCCGCGGCGGCCCCGCGTGCGAGCCCGGCGGAGCGCTGAGTCATCCGCGCGCGGGCGCCGCCGGGCGCGGGGGTCGCGGCTCCGGGCGGGAGGCGGGGCGCGGGCGGCCCCGGGGCGGCGGCGGCCGCGGGCCTGGCCCCCTCCGGCGGCGCCGCGGACCGGAGCTGAGCTCGGAGCGGAGCGCGCCGGGGGAGGGGCTTAGGGGGGCCGCGCCGGCCGGGCCGGGCCGGGGCGGGAGGCCGGGCGGGACCGCACCTCCGGTAGCAGAGCGCAAAGCGCCAGCGCGCGGCCGGAGGCGGCCCGCGGCCATCCCGCAAGGTGTGGGTTCGCAGTGTGGCCCGCGTTAGCCGAAAGAACGTGCCCCGCGGGTTGTGCCCTCGGGGGTGCCGTGGAGCTGGGGACGGCCGGGCCCGTGCCCCTCAGCCCCCTTCCTTGGGCGTCCCCTCGCAGCCTGGAGGTGGTCACTCACCTGCCCTGCCCTCTGCCCGGGGTTTCTTGGCTAACTTAGGCTGACCTTTGTGCCGCCCCCGGATACCCTTCCAACCTGCAGCGCCCTTGCCCGCCTAGTGAACGCTAAGGCTTGGAAGTGCCAGGTGATCTGCCTTGGGGTGGGATTTTCTGCCCTAAGGAAATGTACCCTGCTGAACCGGGAGGGAGGGAGTGTCTAAGCCCTTTGGGTCGCTTATGTATGCTTCAGTGGAAATTAAGTTATGGATTCCAACTGTCAGTAGCCGAAGTTTTCTGGAAGAGGTAGTAGATCTGAATCTTGGGGTGCCAGAGTGTCCAGGCCACCCTCCCTGAGAGTTTCAGCCACTTGAGTTAGCAGGACAAGTAGAAACAGCAAGGGCTAATCCTCTGCTACCCTCTTGCCTCATGTCTGGAGTGAATGTGTCTGCCTAGTGGGAGGAGAGGGAGCTGTCCAGACCTTTCCTTTCCTAGCTGTCAGCCTGAGTGGGTGGTCTAGGGTTCCTGGGTCAACTGGGACCTGTGTGACCACCCAGGCCTCCCCCGTGAGGCTGGCTCAGCCCAAGGGGGCAAGTAGGAGATGCTGGAGGCCTGGACCCAAGTCTTACCAGGTAGCAGGACCTGGAAGAGGCCCGAGATGGGCAGAGGGCTGGTCCTTCCTCAGGCTTCGAAAGATGCCCTCAGCCATCTCTCAACGGTCCTCAAAAACTGTTTTCCTGGCTAGTGTGTCCCCTACTTGGCAGAGATGGGTCGGGCAGCCAGAAGCACCAGCTTTCCTGAGACCTGACCCTCCCCCACCATGCACGCACACATGCACGCACACACCTTTGATCAGGAGGTGATTGGCTGTACTTGTGCTGAGTTCAGGCCTTCTGCAGAGGGTGAAATCTGTTGAGGAGGCACTTTTCAGCTCCCAGCTGCCACACTCTGCACTTTTCTGTATGATCTCAGGAAGTCCCCATTGTCATTGTGCTTTGCAGTCAGGTTTGGGGGCGTCCCCTCCAGGCCCTGCTGGTGTGGGCATGGGGCAGCTTGTAGAGAGACTAGCTGTCCTCTGGTGGTGGTCTCTTGCCCTTTGACCCTTGCTTCTTCCTTTGGCTCTTGCTTCCTTTGCCTCATCTCCCAGTGTGAGACTTGGTGTGGTGAGGGAGTCTCTACCCAAATGGAACCTGGGCCTTTCCTGGCCCACACTCTAGCTTCTGTAAGATGAGTGGAAACTGTCCAACCTATCCCACCCCACAATTGCCTACAGTGCTCACAGCCTCCTCAGGAAGAGACTTCAGTCTGCCCTGTTCTCCAGCCCCTCTTCTCCTGCACCTAACATGGGGAGGGTGGGGTGGACCGTGGGGGCGCACAGAAGTGATGGGTGCGGGGCGATTCCCCAGGCTATGATACAAAAATGTCCTTGATCGGACCGTATCTGGAAAGCAAAGGGTGAGTTTTAGTGCTAGAGGTGCTCTTTGCTTGTGTTCCCTGGGCCCAGGCAGAGAACCAGAGAGTGGTCAGTGACTTGGGGGGCTGACTTCCTGCCTGCCTCCCGCTGAGCAGGTCCCTTGGATGGCTGGTTGTGGGGCCCTTGTGAAATACCTCGGTGGGTGTGGCAGGGGCACAGCATGCTGTAATCCAAAGCCACAGGATGGTTACTCCATCCGCAGCGCAGCGCAGCGCAGGCAGCTCTGCCCAGCTGGACGGCCCGCCACCGGGAAGGTGAGAGACTCCCCGGTTGTGGAGCCAGAAATAGTTGGAAGATCTTTGCCAACCTTAGACGTTTCTGGGAACCACATCCTCTGCCTGAGTCCCAGGGGAACAGCGCCCTAAGCCGATGGGGAGTCGGGGCTTTGTCCCGGGTGAGCTTAGGGGAAGCTGCTGAGGAGACAGAGGGAATGACCCTCCTTGCTGTTGGCCCTAGTAGCCAGTCTCCTGGGGCGCCATTGGCTGCCCTCAGGAGCAGGAGTGAAGCACTCCCTCCGTGTCCGCCTGCGGGGGGGGGGGGGGGGGGGGGGGCAATGTGCTGAGTCAGCGTGACTCGCCAGGAACGGTGCGCTCTAGGGCAGCACCGGGGTTATTTTTAAAGCCTGGCTTCCTTCTGGTCTTCCCCTCTGCCTGGTCCCTCCTCCTGCTCATCCTTCAGCTCCTCTTCCCCACCAGGTCTCCTGCCTGGCTTTCTAGGGGCTGAGCCATCCAGAGCTGCCCGGCTCACAGGCCCAAGGGCTGTCCTCTGGCCAGGCGTTGGTCTGGGAGGTGAGGGGTGGCGGGGAGCTGGCAGGCTCCCTGGGAACAGGGCAGGGCAGGGTGTGGCTTGGCCTTGGGAGTTCTGACCTCTGCTCTGTCTTGCAGAGTCCCTGCTCGCGTGCCCCGGGTTATGACGACCCCGAGTAAAGGAAACAAGGCCTTGAAGGTGAGTGGAGTAGGGCAGGAAGGCCTGGGGTGGGGGTGGGGGTGCCCTCGCTCAGGCCTGACTCTGTGCTCTGTGCTGCCCAGGTGAAGCGGGAGCCGGGAGAGAATGGCACCAGCCTGACGGACGAGGAGCTGGTGACCATGTCGGTGCGGGAGTTGAACCAGCACCTGCGGGGCCTGTCCAAGGAGGAGATCATCCAGCTGAAGCAGCGCCGGCGCACACTCAAGAACCGTGGCTATGCGGCCAGTTGCCGGGTGAAGCGGGTAACCCAGAAGGAGGAGCTGGAGAAGCAGAAGGCGGAGCTGCAGCAGGAGGTGGAGAAGCTGGCCTCCGAGAATGCCAGCATGAAGCTGGAGCTCGATGCCTTGCGCTCCAAGTACGAGGCCCTGCAGAACTTCGCCAGGACTGTGGCCCGCAGCCCTGTGGCTCCTGCTCGGGGTCCCCTTGCCGCTGGCTTGGGACCCCTGGTCCCCGGCAAGGTGGCTGCCACCAGCGTCATCACAATAGTAAAGTCCAAGACGGATGCTCGGTCATAGGGACTTGTGCAATTGCCAGGCGGGTCTTCGAGGGGCCACTAAGTGCATGGCAAAGTTGGCAGCCCTGCCCCTCTTCCTCTCCTCCTTTCCTGGTCTTCTCTTCCTTTCCCTCTTTCCCCTCGTCCCTTCCCTGCAAAGCACAACCTTCTCCCCAGGGGCGCCGGGCTGAGCCCCTTTGATCTCGTCCTTGTCATCGTGTGTTCTGTACATTGGGATCGGTCAGTTCGATGGTGATGTTGGGTTGCCCCTCACCCCTTTGTACCAAGGCATGTGGCTAGGAGTCCAGAGTGGGCACTGTGGGAATGGACAAGAGCAAGTGGGCAGCTGCCCCTGGGCCCCAGGTCAGCCTCTTCCTGAGTGGCCCACAGGCGCTACTGGCTGCCAGCTTGGAATAGAACTCAAGGGCTAGAGCTCTCCTTAGACCCAGGTGGGCAGCCCACCTTGGCCCAGCAGGAAGATGCTTCTTGAGGGCCCTGGATGGGTGGACCACCAGCCAGGGCCCTGCAGGCGCTGGGCCAGAGCCACGGTGCTCGAGCCTGATGTGGTGCACTGAACAAGGCCAGATCGCTGGTGGTGACCGAGCGTGGAGGGCGTGTCAGTGTCCTGCGGTGGTTCCGTGTCACTGTTTACATGACCTATTTGTGTGGTTATATAGCCCTTTATTTAAGAGAGAAATTCCTTTTATGAAGTTATTAAATTATATGTTTAAGAGCTAAAGAGAAAAAAAAAAGAGCTGCAGAGTATTTATAAAACTGTCTTTAAAAAAAACCAAGTAAGAACGTTTGACTGTAAAAATGAAAAAGGGAAGAAAGTATAAGAGAGACTTTTACTAGTTTAAAAGAAGACACAAAAGTTCCTTTCTTGTAAACTTACAGACAACTGTTTGTGGCTGTTGTTGGAGTTTAGTTTTTATATACACAGAGTTATCAGACATTATTTATAAAACTTAGTTTAAAAAGAAAAAGGAAAAAAAAAAGCCAAGCCGACCAGAGGCCGTCCTCTTTGATATCTCTTTTGCAATTGTACCAAAAGTGACTTACTCCTTGCCCTTTCTGCTTCCGTCTCTTGCCGGTGCCGTGGTGTCGTCCGTGCCTGGTGAGGTTTTGTGCAGCCGTAAAGTGCTGGTGCTTCTGGTGACCTTTGACCTGTGGCTGTCCCTTCGTGTGTATTTCTGTGTGTGTTTTCTTTGGACTTGGTGGTGATCTTGCTTCTGCTGGCTTGCTGGCCGGGGCTGAGCCAGGGTCCCCGTGGCACCGACTCGGTGGGAGCACGTGGGTCTGGCTCGCCAGCCCAGCCTCTTTGAGCTTCTGTGTGCTCCTCTGCCGTTCCCGTTCCCTGAGCCTGGGCTTCCCCTGTGAGTCTGGGGCCTGGGCTGATCCCGAGGCGGAGCAGGTGACGTGGGGGGGCTGTCGGGAGTCCCTGTGCTGCTCCACATCCGCCACCCGGGCCTTGGGTGGTGGCTTTGCAGGGACCACGGCATCACTGTGGGTGCCCACAGGGCTGCGGCCAAGCCGGCCCTGGCTGTCTTCCTTCTGGCCTCTGCTTTGTTCTACACGCTGCATGTGGGGCCTCAGCCGGGACACTCCAGAGGCCCTCTTGCAGGTTCCGTGTCCCACCCCACTTCTCCACATCCCCCTGATCTGACTCCTTGCTGTGGAGTGTTGCTTCCCAGGCAGACTGGTCAGGGGCTCCTCTCGGGGCAACCCATTCTTCCTTCCCTGCCTCACTGTGAGGGCCTGGGGGCCTCCACCAGGGCCGGACAAGGGCTTTTGACTCCAGGTCTGTGCCAGCGGCTCTCCCCTTGGGGTCTGTCTTCCAGAGACCCTCTGTTCCCCCTGGAGGTGCTGCTCCGTAGGGCCCAATCACCAGCCTTCTGGGCTGTCTCCGATAGCTCTTCATGGACATGTTCCTGGGGCAGTGCCCACATGCCACCTGCCAGGCGCTGCAGCCCTGTCTGGCCTCTGGCCTCTTACCATTGTTGCTGGTATCTTCTCTGGGGGCCCTGGGTCCCTGAAAAGCACAGAAATTGCTGGTGGGAGGGAAAGCTGCGGCCTGCTCTGCTTCCAGCTGGTTTTTGCTGGGTTTGCCTCGGCTTTCAGTGCTGTGGGAGCATCTGGCAGCCTTGGTGTCTTGATGCGTTCCTTTGGCTCGTGGTGCTCAGACTCCTGTTGGTACCTGAGGCTCGTGGTGCTCAGACTCCTGTTGGTACCTGAGGCCCCAGTGGCTGGAAATCCATGACTCGCCTAAGTGGCCTGGTGACCTTTTCCTCTCATACCTCGGGCTCGTGTGTCCCTAAAGGGTGGGGGAGGGTGGGCAGGCCCTCTGGCCTTCAGGGCCGGGGTGGTGTCCGTGAGCGTTGTTGGGCAGGTGCTGAGCTGGGATGTATAGGAGGATGCCGCGGCTGGGGTGGGTCTGTGCTGAACGGAAGCTGCAGTCTCACAGAAGCTCATGGAGTTGATGAGAGCTTGTCTTCGTGGTTTTGGGGTCTGAGGAGCTTCCTGTCACCAGCTCTGCAGGGTCATTCCACTCCTTCCCCTCACCTCCATCTCTTGACAGTAGGTCCTGTGGCCATGTGTGACTGTTGACTGTCTTTCTGATACACGTTGATTATGTTTTCCTGCTGTGAGGGTGTTGTGTTCTTTCTTCTCGTGACTTCACTGACACAGCGGATTGAGGGCTTTGCCTGAAGTCAGGTCTCCCAAACTTGTCCGCTAAGTAAGCCACAGTGTGTAGCTTCCCTCTTAACTTGACTTTATTCACTCCACGTTTCTTATTCTAATGTGGACACTCAGATATCAGAGAAACACCCAGTGGGCACAGACAGGTTCGCTGTTGCTAGTGTGGTGACGGGGAGCACTTGAGTCCCCGCTGTTGCTCTAGGGTAGCACTACTGCTGGTGTGGGAGTCCTGTGGCTGCAGTGTCCCACCGCCCGGCAGCCGGCTGGGGTCCACATTTCCCGGGGTGGTCAGCGGCCGGGTGCACAGCTCGGGCGAGCTGCAGCCCGCCTCCTGACAGGCGCCGCAGGCCGTCCCGCCGCGTCCTGTGCGGTGGGCACGGGCCACTTGGCCAAGCTGGCATCCCGCAGCTGGGAGGCCGGGCCACAGCCCGCTGCACCATTTCCGCGGTGGACTCTTCAGTTGCTTTTTTAGGCTGTGGTCTGGTGAGAGGAACCAACATGTTAACGGCTTTTTCCCCAGAAGCCATTCAGTAATTGTTTCTGGCATGTTTTCACCTTCCTGTTGCTGTCTGGCTGTGGCACAGTTGCGGAGCGGGGTGGCTGTCATCAGTGCTACGCGGGAGCCGCGTGTGTCCCCGCGGCTCGTGGCCCTGGCCGGCCGCCCGGGCCTCCACCCCACGCCTGGAGCCAGTCCACGAGGCCGAGGCGGTTAGCGTGCCCTTCGGCCGTGAGGCCGCCTGCCCTGTGACCCCAGTGGGGCTTCCGGCCCTCGGCCACCTCCCGCCCCGGCCCGGCCCTTCCTCCCGTGCCCTCTGCTAGTCCCTGAAGCCTTTAACCAAACGAGAGTGGGTTCAGACCCGGACACCGGGGGCAGCAGGGCGAGCCCGCGAGGGGCCAGCCTCGCCGGCCTTCGGCTCCTGAGCTGTGTCCAAGCAGAGGGGTCAGCCCCTGCCTGCCCCGCGGAGGCCGGAGCCCGCGGGGGCCGGCGGGGGCCGGCGGGGGCGCGCGGGGGCCGGAGCCCGCGGGGGCGCGCGGGGGGCCGGCGGGGGCGCGCGGGGGCCGGAGCCCGCGGGGAGCCCCCCGCGCCCGGCACAGTATTTATTGCTAAGTTATTGTCCGGAGGCGCGGCGCGGGCGGCCCCGGTATTTATTGCTGTACATAGTGTATGTTTGTGATATATGAGGTTTTCTTTATTTTGTATATGATCAATAAACGCCTTTTAAAGAGACGCTCAGGTGCTTCCTGGGGGCGGGGCGGGGCGCGGCGCGCATGCGCCCGCGCGCGGCCGCCGGCGAGGCGGAAGCGGAAGCCGGAAGCGCGGCGGGGACAGCGATGGCAGCGGGCGGCGGGCTGAGCCGCTCGGAGCGCAAGGCGGCGGAGCGGGTGCGGAGGCTGCGGGAGGAGCAGCAGCGGGAGCGCCTCCGCCAGGTAGGCCGCCGCGCCCCGCGCCCCGCGCCCCGCGCCGCCGCCGGCCGCTCACCGCCCGCCCGCCCGCCCGCAGGTGTCGCGCATCCTCCGGAAGGCGGCGGCCGAGCGCAGCGCCGAGGAGGGCCGGCTGCTGGCCGAGAGCGCGGACCTGGTGACGGAGCTGCAGGGCCGGAGCCGGCGCCGGGAGGGCCTCAAGCGGCGGCTGGAGGAGGCGAGCGGCGGGCGGCGGGCGGCGGGCGGCGCGGGCGGCGGTGACCCCGGGCCGGGCCGTGACCACCGACCGCCCCGGCCCCCGGCAGGTGTGCGACGACCCCGAGGAGCTGCGGAACAAGGTCCGGGAGCTGGCCGGCGCCGTCCGGAACGCCAAGTTTCTGGTTGTCTACACCGGCGCGGGCATCAGCACGGTAGGGAGCGCGGCGGCCCCGCGGGGCCGGGGCCGGGGCCGGGGCCGGGGCCGGGGCCGGGGCCGGGCGGCGGGCGCCCCCTCCCGGTGGGCCGGGCCGGGCCGGAGCCCACGCCTGAGCCGGGGCCTGCCCACCCGCGCTGGGCGGGTCGTGCACACACCGGGCGGACACTCTAACCGGAATCGCGGTCTGCGTTCCGGCCAGGGGACAGGGACGGGAACGGCATAGTGGCCCCCGGCACCGGTGGCTGGCTGGTTGGTCAGGTTATAGGAGCAGAGCTGAGCTGCGAACTGTCACCTGCTGTCCTACTCCTTATGCCAAGAAAGGTAAATACAGAGCAAGGCCGTGAAAATCAGAATGCCCTCGGTAAAGAAGAAAAATGCACTGCCTTGGACTTCAAGAAGGCTCACTGAGCCAGCCCTGTCATCCAGGGCTCACTCCTGTCATCCAGGCTTCTCGGGAGGCTGAGAGCTGAGAGTCGAGGTTCAAAGCCAGCCCAGGCAGGAAAGTCTGTGAAACTCTTATCTCCAATAAACCACCAGAAAACCAGAAGTGGTGCTGTGGCTCAAGTGGTAGAGTGCTAGCCTTGAGCTGAAGACCTGAGGGACAGCGCTCAGGCTGAGTTCAAGCCCCACGACCAACCAAAAAACAAAACAAAACAAAAAACCTCAAGAACAGTGCCTAGGTTCTGAGTTTGGGTCCCAGATTAGCACCAAAATAAAAAAATGTGAGAAGTTTCACTGAGAACCTACCTGTCCCAGGCTATAGGACACTGACTGGCATGTGATGTGTGAAATCTCAGGTTAGTACAGAGTGTTGGGCAGGTAGATCCACTAGAGGTGAACATTAGGTGATTTGTACCCTCAAGAAACCCTTTGGGGGGCTGGGAAGGTGGCTCAGTGGTAGAGTGGTTGCCTAGTGTGCATGAGGTCCTGGGTTCGATTCCTCAGCACCACATAAGCAGAAAAAGCTGGAAGTGGTACAGTGCTCACCTTGGCGTTCAGGCTCCATGACTGACAAAAAGAAAAAAAAAAAAAAAGAAACCCTTTGGGGCCAGAAGGCCTTGGCTCAGGCCTGTCATCCTGGCTACTCAGGAGTCTGAGATCTGAGGATCACAGTTCAAAGCCAGCCAGGGCAGAAAAGTTCTTGACACTCTTATCTCCAGTTCATCACGAAAAAAGCAGAAATGGCACTGTGGCTCAAGTGGTGGAGCGCTAGCCTTGACCTGAAAAGCTCAGGGACAGCGCCCAGGCCCAGAGTTCAAGCCTCACAACTGACACTCACACACACACACACACCCCACCCCGAAGAAACCCTTTGGTTACAACAGTCAAGCATGTCTTCCTGGTGGTTTCATGGAAGCATACATACTTTGGCCTATGAAGCCTGCCCTGTGGGCTTGCTGCGGGGTGTTATATTGAGTTTCTATATTGATGGGGTAAAATCCACATGTGAAGGTGGGAGTGTGAGGCACTCCAGACTAATAACAGCAGACGTCCAGTAGCAAGAACAAGTAAGGTGCACTTGCTGCTCTTTGGTTGGTTTGTTTGTTTTTGCTGGTCGTGGGGCCTGAACTCTGGGCCTGGGTGCTGTCCCTCAGCTCTTCAGCTCAACGCTTAGTGCTCTACCACTCGAGCCACAGCGCCACTTCCAGCTTTTTCATGATTAACTAAGGAATCTAACCCAGGGCCTCATGCATGCAAGGCAAGCACTCTACCACTGAGCCACCCAGCCTCTGCTCTTTGTTTTGTGCTGGTACTGATGCTTGAACTGAGGACCTAAATGCTGTCCCTTAGCGTTTTTGTGCAAGGCCACTTGAGCCATGCTCCACTTCCAACTTTTTGGTGATAATTTGGAGATGAGTCTCATGGACTTTCCTGTCCAGGCTGGCTTTGAACTGTGATCCTCATACCTCAGTCTCCTGGATAGCTAGGATTATAGATGTGAGTCAGTAACTCTGCTCTTGATTCATTAAAACCTGGAGCATGAACATTTGGGGTCCCTCCCTCCACATACATACATTTATATACATTAAAATCTGGTTTATGGTTTTTTTGTTTTTGTTTTTTTTGCCAGTCCTGGAGCTTGAACTCATGGCCTGGGCACTGTCCCTGAGCTGCTTTTGCTCAAGGCTAGCATCCTACCACTTGAGCCACAGCACCACTTCCAGCTTTTTCTCTGTGGTACTGAGGAATTGAACCCAAGGCTTCATGAATGTTATTTGTTTTGTTTTTTTTGTTGGTTATAGGGCTTGAACTCAGGGCCTGTGAACTGCCCCTGAGCTTTTTTGCTTAAGGCTAGCACTCTACCACTTTGAGCCATAGTGACACTTTCAATTTTCTGGTGGTTGATTGGAGATAAGCGTCTTACAGACTTTGCTGTCCAGGCTGGCTTTGAACTGTGATCCTCAGGATCTCAGCCTCTTGAGTAGCTTGGATTGCAGGCGTGACCACTGGAGCCCAGCCAGCTTGTCAGTTTGAGCTGAACATTGCTATTTGAACTTCCTCTCTTTAAGAGTCACAGTTAGGCCAGGTGCCTGTGGCTCACGCTGTCATCCTAGCTACTGAGGAGGCTGAGATCTGAGGATCAAGGTTCAAAGCCAGCCCAGGCAGGCAAGTCTGTGAGTCTGTTATCTCCAATAAACCACCAGAAGACCAGAAGTGGCACTGTGGCTCAAGTGGTAGAACACTCACCTTGAGCCAGAGAGCTGAGAGACAGTGTCCAGGCCGAGTTTAAACCCCATGACGACCAACAACAACAAGAAAAAAGTCACAGGGTGGGGGGCACTGTGGATCCTGTAGGGATGCACTGGGCCAGGTAGGAAGGCAAAGTCTAGATAGAGGGAAAGAGCCAGACTGGAGCACATTCCACTTACCATCAGGCAGGGCAGCTGAGGAAGGGATAGAGGCCAGTCTGGGGGCCAGCCTGGAACGTGGTGTGTTCCATTTTGGGAAATACTGCCATTCCCTTTGGTAGCACCTTTTCACTGGACTTACCATTTTATCTGAATCTGTAGGCTGCCTCTATCCCAGATTACCGTGGTCCTAATGGAGTGTGGACGCTGCTTCAGAAAGGGAGAAGCGTGAGGTGAGCTGCTCGTGCACAGTCTTCCCACAGGCAGCGCCTCTTCTCCGCTGCCCCTCTCCGTCCCTCACCTCTGCTTCCCCTTCTGTTTGGCAGTGCTGCTGACCTGAGTGAAGCTGAGCCTACCCTCACGCACATGAGCATCACCCGTTTACATGAGCAAAAGCTGGTAAGAGCCCTCTGGCCAGCAATTCCTGCCCATGGTCATGCCTGGAGCTGGCTGCCAGTGCCCAAGAGAGAAGCTGCAGTTTCCCACTGGGCTCTGATGGACACCCCGAATGGGGTTACTCACCCGAGTCATGCTGTGCTTACGGGCCTGTCCTGAACTATACGGTCCAGGCCGGTCTCCACCAACCCCTTCAGCTTTCCTTGGCGTGTGCAGGGGCTGTGGAAACCCAATGGCCTGGGGAGGATACTAGGAACCTCAGCTGAGGACCTCCATCCAAGTAGGGAATGGTAGATCTGCCTGGCCCTGGGAGACAAGAAACAGTGACCCGAGGAGATGTGGATCTGGGCTAAAACAGCTACGTCCCAGTGGGCTGGAAGTTAGCTCTGGCCCTGGCTGCTCAGGCTAGACACAGAAGTTTTGTGGCCATGGCTGCTTACTCCTCCTGACTGCCCCATGTTCTGCCCTCCAGGTGCAGCACGTGGTGTCTCAGAACTGTGACGGGCTCCACCTTCGGAGCGGCCTGCCACGCACGGCCATCTCAGAACTCCACGGGAACATGTATATCGAAGTGAGCAGTCTCACGGGGATGCAGGGCCTGAGTGCCAGGCAGGCCCCACTCACTGTGCCCTCTTGTTCTCAGGTCTGCACCTCCTGCATCCCCAACCGGGAATATGTGCGCACGTTCGATGTGACAGAGCGTACTGCCCTCCACCGGCACCAGACAGGCCGGGCCTGCCACAAGTGTGGGACTCAGCTCCGGGACACCATTGTGCACTTTGGGGAGAGGGGGACATTGGGGCAGCCCCTGAACTGGGAAGCAGCCACTGAGGCTGCCAGCAGAGCAGACACGATCCTGTGCTTGGGCTCCAGCTTGAAGGTACGGTGTGACACCACCGTGAATTCTGTGGAGGTGCGTGTTACAGCCCTGCCTGCCTAGGCCATCCTGTTGGCATGTCTCTGCTCACATGCGTGTGCTGTGTCTGCCCGCTTCCACAGGTACTGAAGAAATACCCCCGCCTATGGTGCATGACCAAGCCCCCCAGCCGGCGGCCCCGGCTCTACATTGTGAACCTACAGGTAGGCTAGGTACACAGAGCTATGTCCTTAGACCTGAGCCTTACATCTGGGGATCCAAGAGATGTGCTACATTTTTGCAACTTAAAGATCCTAGTGCAAGCTAGCTGGTGGCTCATGCCTGTCATCCCAGCTACTCAGGAGGCTGAGATCTGAGGATCACAGTTCAAACTGGGCAGGTCCATGAGAACCTTTTTTTTTTTTTTTTTCTGGGTCGTGAGGCTTGAACTCTGGGCCTAGGCGCTGTCCTTGAGCTCTTTAGAACACTTTACTACTTGAGCCACAGCCCCACTTCTGGTTTTCTAGTGGTTAATTGGAGATAAAGAGTCTCACAGATTTTCCTGCCCAGGATGGCTTTGAACCATAATAAACTACAATAAACTACTAATAAACTTCAATAAACTACTCAGCAAAAGCTGGAAGTGGCACTGTAGCTCAAGTGGTAGCATACTAGCCTTGAGCACAAAGAGGCTCAGGGACAGCACCCAGGCCCTGAGTTCAAGCCCCAGGACTGGCAGAAAATTTAAAAAAAATCTAGAACAAGCTGAGCACCTGTGGCTTACGTCTGTAATCCTCGCTACTCAGGAGGCTGAGATCTGAGAATCATGGTTCAAAAGCCAGCCTGGGCAGGAAAGTCCGTGAAACTCTTATGTCCAGTAAACCACTTGAAAATCGGAAGTGGCACTGTGGCTCAAGCAGTAGAGTGGAGCGCTGGCCTTGAGCTGAAGAGTGCAGGGACAGCGCCCAGGCCCAGAGTTCAAGCCCCATGACGGACCAAAAAAATAAATAAAATCTAGTACAAGGTCAGGCGGGTGCCTCCGGAGCTCGGGTGGGTGCCTAGAAAGCAGTGGCCCAACCTGCAGGAAACGAGGCTGATGGGCCTCAGGAGCAACGGGGATTTATCCTCATTTGCCTTTCCTGTGTTCAGTGGACCCCAAAGGACGACTGGGCTGCCCTGAAGCTTCATGGGAAGTGTGATGATGTCATGCAGCTGCTCATGGGTGAGCTGGGCCTGGAGATTCCCCTCTATAACAGGTGAGTGGCCCATCCCCCCACGCCTCTGCCCTGTGTGGTGGGCGTGTCTGTCTTCCATAAACTGAGCGTGTTGGGAGCTCTGAGTTCTTGCAGCCACCTTCTGAAGGCTGTGGACGTGGGGCGGCCTCCAGAGGGACCGACTGAGGCGAGGCCAGACTCCGTGTGCGCACGCTTCTCCCTGGCTAGTGTGCTGCCGAGTCCCCCCAGGCCCGGAAGCCGCCCAGTGTGTTCTTGCAATTTTCCCCTGCTGACCTCTCCAGGTGGACATGGGCACACAGGGACCTCAAGGGGATGAAACTGCAGCTGTGGCCAGACAGAGCCGTAGTGTCCGAGGGGTTGAAGACTGCAGCTGTAGCCAGACAGCCATAGTGTCCGGGGGGGTTGAAGACTGCAGCTGTAGCCAGACAGAGCCGTAGTGTCCGAGGGGTCTCAAGGGGATGAGACTGCAGCTGTGGCCAGACAGCCGTAGTGTCCGAGGGGCTGTTTTTGTTCTTGTTGTTGTGTTCTTTATTTTATTACTTTTTTTTTTTTTTTTTGGTGGTTCTGGGGTTTGAACTCAAGGCCTTGTGCTTGCTGAGCTGGATCTCTTACCACTGAGCCAGGCCTCCAGCCTGTGTCCTTGGTTTTGGGAGTTGGCATATTTGGGGGAAGCTTAAAGAAACTGCCTTAATTTGTGATAATTTAGATATGGTGCATGTATTGAGTTAAAAGTTTACACTCTCTTTCTCTGTGAATTTTCAGGGTCTTATAGGGGAAATCAATAACTTCTTTTAATCAAAGGGTTCAAGAAATTAAGGATCCCTTCACCTCTGGCCCTGGCAATTCTTGTATGTTATGTTTGTGGTGTTCTGTGACGTGGGCCTATTGTGTCCTGTATTTTTTTTTCCACATTAACTTAGCTCATTTCCTTTATCAGTGCTTCTCTGTATCTTGCGTTTATGATATGTGGTTCTACATCTCAATCAAACACATGATTTCTTCACGATGTAGTCCGTAGGCCACAGGTCCCTAGTCAGCTGGCTTCCCTCCTGTCCCTGTCATGCAGTCTGGGAAGAGGGAGAGGGTCTGGTCTGCCCGCCCACAGCCATACTAGTGAAAGATGGGGCCCAGAGTTGCTAGTGACTTGTCCCTGGAGCTGAAGGTGCCCGTGGGCTACTGTAGCCCTGGAGTGCGCACAGCCACTCATGGTGGATGAGATGTGGAGTTCTGGAGGGGCTGGCCCTCATTTAGCCACAGGGAGAGATTACCTCCTGGAGCTCTTCCCGAGCTGTGTGAGGACTCAGCTAGACTCACCTAAGCCAGCCACCCTGAAGACAGGGAGGGGAGGGGTTGAAAGGCAGGTGGCCTCAGACAGCTTCCCTTGAGCCAGGGTGGGTTGTAAGGAGTCTCTCAGACCTGCCTGACCAGCCTTCCCTTTTGGTAGGTGGCAGGATCCCATCTTCTCCCTGGCGACGCCCCTGCGTGCTGGTGAAGAAGGCAGCCACAGTCGGAAGTCGCTGTGCAGGAGCAGAGAAGAGGCCCCGGCCGGGGAGCAACGGGGAGCCCCTCACAGCTCAGCGTCCATCCGGGGGGGCTGGTTTGGCAGGGGCTGTGCCAAACGGGCAAAAAGGAAGAAGGCGGCGTGACCTGTTGCTGCGGGAAGAACAGTTGGCACTTTGCAGGTGGCGGGCGGGAGCTGCCCGAGCCCCTCACCGCGCCGGCCGGCGGGCTGCCCCGTCCCTGTGGGCAGGCGGCCCGCCCAGGGCTTGCCAGCAGGGACGCGCGCGCCCGCCGCCCGCCGCCCGCGCCAGTCTCAGGGCCCCTTCCTACCGCTCCTCACTGCGTCGATCACTTTACAGAAACTTATGCCAGGGGCGGTTCCGAGCCTTTATTAAACACCTCTGCACCGCCTCTGTCCGGGCCCCTGCTGTTCCCCGAGGCGCCGCCGCGGCCGGGGTCGGCTCGGAGGGGCGGGGCCTGTCATGCAGCGCACGCTATTGGCTGCGCAGGCGGGCGGGGGACGAGGCACGTCATTGGTCACGCGCATCTGACGGAGGGGGCGGGGTTCCTGTGTGAGGGGCGGGACTCGGGGAGGCCGGCGCGCGCCATTGGCTGCGCGGGGCGGGTGAGGCCCGCGTGACGGCGCGGGGCGGAGCGGGACGGAGGTGCTGGGAGTCCCGGAGTGCCGGGTGGAGTCGGTGCTGCGGGGCCATGATCCGGAACGGGCACGGGGCGGCGGGCGCCTCGGAGCTGCCGGGCCCGCAGGGCCGGCGCGCCGTGAGGGTGTGGTGCGACGGCTGGTGAGTGGGCGCCGGGCCGCGCGTCCTCCCGGGTCACCGGCCGTTGGCCAGCCCCGACTGCGGTGGGGCTCAGGCGGCCCGGATCCCCGGGGGCCCCGCGGGCCGCGCCCCGGGCTCGGGACCAGCCCGGCCCGGAGCCTTGGGCGGCGCCGTGCTCCGTGCTCGCGGCCTCGGGGTGCAGCCGGCCCCGGGCCCGGACGAGTTGAGCCGCGCGCAGACGCTGGCCCGGCCTGCAGCGGCCTCCGCGAGCCGGCGGCCCGGGGTCAGCGGAGGGGTCAGTCCGGGGACTGCTTTGAGAAAAGTTTGGCGCTGTCAACAAGTAGGTGGAGGTTGGCCTTGCTGGTGGCTCGCCGCCCCGTGCCCTGCGGTTGGAGCTCCTGGAAATGGAGGGTACCGGGTCTGAGCGAAGGTTCGAGAAACGCACAAGGTTGCCCTGTTTTGCACCGGTGTCACCTCTGGCTTCGGCTTCGTGTCCGTGGACTCTGACCCTCGGTCTAGCCGGGGCCGCCCTCCTGTCGTGTCCTCCCCGTGCAGCCCCAGAGCAAGCCTCCCCGGTGGGCACAGACTCTGGCCAGACCTTGGGGCCTGAACCTTTTGACCCACCCCATTCCTCTGCGAGGCGGTGGGGAGGGCGGGTGGCTATGCTGAGGGGAGACTGAGGCTGCCCTTGGGCCATCTGACCCCATCCTGGGAAAGGGGGGGTGAGCTCCGAAGGAAGCAGAGCAGAGCCTGGGGCCCAGCCCTGGCAGCTCCCAGCCTAGCAGAGAGCACCCAGGGCTCAGGGCTCGTTGTGTAGCTGTGCTGCGTAGCCTGGGGCTTGAAGCTCACTCATAACCAGACCAGAACTTGAGGGTTATACACGCTTTAGAACCATGACAGAGGCCATTATTCACCCGGGAGCTAAGACAGGCTGCAGGAAGAAAGGGTTTTCAAACCAGTGATTCCTTGCTCTTTGGTTTTACTTTTGGTTTGGTGTCAGCCCGAAGGATTGCCGACTTGTATTAGGATAGTACCGAATCTGGCCCCAAGCCAAAACTGACGTTTTGTTGTAAAACTTGAAATGACAGCTGAGCACCCATGTGGTTCACGCCTGTCATCCTAGCTACTCAGGAGGCTGAGATCTGAGGATCATGGCTCAAAGCCAGCCCAGGCAGGAAAGTTCTTGAGACTCCAATAAACCACTAGAAAACTGGAAGTGGCGCTGTAGCTCAAGCAGTAGAGCACTCGCCCTGAGCTGAAGAGCTGAGGGATATAGACCCAAGCCCAGAGTTCAAGCCCCATAACTACTACCACCACCACCAACAACAAAAACCAACCAAACAAACAAAAAACTTGAAATGATTTGCCTATACCAGTTTTCATTTGGGAAGGGGAGGGGGCAAGCCCAGGGACAGCCCAAGGCTTGGGAAAGGGACTCCGGCAAACAGTGGGCAGGTTTGTCCTGGAGTTTGCCAGTCCCCCGGACCTTACCCGGCCTTGTTCCTGCACCAGCACCCTTGCTGTTCTGGCACGGACAGTGTCATGTCCCAAGGTGCAGGTCCAGGGACAGGGGTATGAATGGCTGAGTACCCACCTCCCACTGTGGGCCCAGGTTCCACAGATTTAGAGCAATTTCCAGCAGTGGTTTCTCAGAGAGCATTCACTAAGGAGTCCTTGGAAGAGAAAATCTGTGCCCCACCCCCCAGGACCCCCTTGTCCCTACCCCTCCAACTGCTGTCTGTCCTCACAGCTATGACATGGTTCATTACGGTCATTCAAACCAGCTGCGCCAGGCTCGGGCCATGGGTGACTACCTCATCGTGGGCGTGCACACTGATGGTAAGGTGTAGGCCACTACCCCATGCTGTAACCAGACTAACCTTCCCAACTGGCCAGAAGCTTGGTCAGAAGCGGCGGGGGGGGGGGGGGGGCGAGGGGGGTGCAGCCCTGGGCCTCCTCCCCAGAATGCGCCTGTGAACGGGAGACGTAGCAAGCTCCATTTATCCTGGCCTCAGCTGAAGATGTCCCCCTCTAGACAGCAAGCTAGAGATGAGGGCCAGGTCATTGCCAGCCCCGGCCCCTCACCCCTCATCCCTGACCCCTGCCTGGAGCCTAAAAAGATTGAATGTCTTGCTTGGTAAAGGACCCTCAGTGCACAAGCTGGCCGCAGGACAGCAGTGGCCACTCACGTATGGGCTGAGGCCCCACGAGCAGGGCAGGTTGGCTCGCACCCTCTCAGTGCATGGAAAGGGCTCCTGAGCAAGATGCCAGGGAGCCGGAGGTCACCTGTCCTGTCCTTGTTTTCTCTGGCTCCAGAGGAGATTGCCAAGCACAAAGGACCCCCAGTGTTCACCCAGGAGGAGAGGTACAAGATGGTGCAGGCCATCAAGTGGGTGGACGAGGTAGTGCCCGCTGCGCCCTACGTCACCACGCTGGAGACGCTGGACAAGCACAACTGTGACTTCTGTGTCCATGGCAGTGAGTGGGCGGGCCCCAGGACCGGCCGCGGGAGGGGGGGGGGGTCAGCCCTCCTGGCCCTGAGGGCTTGGGTCTAAGAAAGCTCAGGTTGTTCCCTAGGAATGGAGGCACAAACACTAAACACTAGGATGAGGTGGGGACTAGAAGGGTTTGGGGCCCCTGGGGGGTGGTTCTGGGACCCCACTTGAGCCAGGCATGGCAGTCCACACCTTATTTCAGCACTCAAGTGGCAGAGACATGAGGATCAGAACAGCCGGGTTAGATGGGAAGACCCTGTGTGAGAAACAAACCCAGCAAATACCCTTTGTGTGTGTGTGCGCGCGCGCGCGTGTGTGTGTGTGTGTGTGTGTGCGTGCGTGCGTGTCACCCCTAGATGACATCACATTGACTGTTGACGGCCGAGACACCTATGAGGAGGTGAAACAGGCTGGGAGGTACAGGTAAGCTCCTAGCTGGCCTGACACTTCAGGAGCTGGTCTTGAGTTCCCTCTTAGCTCTACTGCATTGAGATTGTGCGGGAGGGCTGGGGAGGGGACTCAGTGGTAGAGTCTCGCCTGGCATGCATGAAGCCCTGGGTTCCATTCCTAAGTACCACAGACAGAAAAGTCAGAAGTGGCGCTGTGACTCAAGTGGTAGAGTGCTAGCCTTGAGCAAAAGAAGCTCAGGGACAGCACCCAGGCCCTGAGTTCAAGCCCCAGGACTCGGGGGGCAGATTGTAAGGGAGACACATCTGGGCCAGGTCTGGAGCCTCCAGGGAGGATCTTGCTGTGGCACTGGCTGTGTGGCTGGCCTCAGGGCTTCAGAGTAGTGCCAAGTGAGCATGGTGGTGCCCCGCCCCAGAAGCTGGCTTTATGTTAATTAGCTGTGATTTAAAGGGCCAGCTGTGGCTAGGTTCCTGCATGGGATGGTGCATCCCAAATCCCCTTGGTAAAGAATTTGGGTGTGAGCTCACCAGTGGGCACGACAGCAGACTAGGGTCAGGGCTGCTGTGCCCAGACGTGGCCTGCCCACACCCAACCACCGCACACATGGGCTCAGCGATGCCCTTGATGCTTTGCTCAGGCCATTTGCTTTTTGCGGATAAAATTTTAATGCTTCCTCTATGCTCCCAGTTGGATTTGCTGGGGGGCGGGCGGGCGGGGGGCGAGGCAGGGCTAGGGTCACGTCCCTCAGTTGGGTCTGCAGTAGGCAGGCCTGGTAAGTGTCTGGGACAAGAGCCCACCAACCCCACCTCTGCCCCCAGAGAGTGCAAGCGCACCCAGGGTGTGTCCACCACAGACCTCGTAGGCCGCATGCTGCTGGTGACCAAGGCCCACCACAGTGGCCAGGTGAGTGCTGGCCCCAAGGGGGAAGGGAGAGGGGAGGGAGGGGGAGCTCCTCCCACCCAGGGCCCCCTGTCTGCCTGCCCTCTCCACCCGTTCTGGGAACGAGCCCCCTCAGCCCTGTGCCCTTGTGTGCAGGAGATGTCCTCTGAGTACCGGGAGTATGCGGACAGTTTTGGCAAGGTGAGTGGGCCTGGCTGGCCGTGTGGTGACGTGCAGGCTTTCCTCCTGGCCTCTGGGGAGAAGTTGGGCCCTCCTCCTCCCTTCCGGTGCTACCCAGGTCCTGGCTGAGTCAGCGGGCTCAGCCTGCTGGTGGATGCTAGGAGGAAAGACAGGCAAGAGATGGCCATTCATTGCGGCCATGTCCTAGAGGATTAGCAGGGACTGCCCATGACCAGGCGGCCTCTAACCAAGCAGCTTGGCCCTCTCTCCACCTGCCAGGAACCCACTTCCCTCGGAAGTCTCCTTCCAGGTGATCAGATGGTGGTCTCGGGGTGCCGGGTCCCCCACAGGTCTGCCTGCTGGCCGTGTCTCTGCGCCTGCTGCTGCTGGTGGGCTGGCAGGCTGAGCTGTTATTGGCTGCGCGGCCTGCCTGTTATGGCCGCAGCACAGAGCTCCAGTCCCACAGCCGCAGTGACAGCCTGGGCAGGCCACCTGTGTCTCCTGCCGGCCCCAGGTGCCTGGGTGGACGTGGCCTGCTGTGCACCACCCCTGCACACGCTCCTGCTACCCACACGTGGTGCACAGGAGCGTGCTCGCGAGGTTTCTACGCTGACCTGCTCCCTCTCTTGGCTGACAGTGCCCGGGGGGGCGGGACCCCTGGACAGGGGTGTCCCAGTTTCTGCAGACGTCCCAGAAGATCATCCAGTTTGCTTCCGGGAAGGAGCCTCAGCCTGGGGAGACTGTCATCTATGTGGCGGGTGCCTTTGACCTGTTCCGTATCCTCTTCCCGGCTTTCTGTCCTCTACCCATGCCACAGAGGCCCTTGGCCACAGACCCTCGGGTCTCTGGGACCGGGCCTGTGGCGGGCCCGTGGGTGCCAGCCTGGGGAGGCGGGAGCCCTGACTTTCCAGTCCATTGCTGTTTGTTGTTTTGCTTTTCTCCATACCTCCCATCCCCTCCCCTCTCCGCCTCGTGTGTGCTCTGCCCTAATCAGACAGTTTCCCTACGTAGTTCAGACTAGCCTTGAATCAGATCCTCCTGCTTAAACCTCCTCAGTGCTAAGATTACAGGCACGTACCACCACACCCAGCCAGTTACTGCTTCTTAACTGGACACAGACATTGGGCACGTGGACTTCCTAGAGAAAGTGTACCGCCTGGCAGAAAGGCCCTATGTCATCGCTGGCCTCCACTTTGACCAGGTCTCTGCCCTGCCCGGCTCCCCAGCATTTCTGGAGGTTGGCAGGCTATCAGTGCCCTTGGGGAGACTTTGAGGGGCCAGTTGGGGCCAGCGAATCCCTGGAGGAATGAGACTCCAGATGCCTGGAGAAGATGCTGGGCAGGCCCAGGAGCCAAGGGCCATCCTGGTGGGGGGAGGACGGGGCCTCGCTCCCCCCCCCCGTGCTCCAGCAGAGCTGACCCCGCTCTGGCCCTAGGAAGTGAACCGCTACAAAGGCAAGAACTACCCCATAATGACCCTGCACGAGCGGACCCTGAGCGTGCTGGCCTGCAGGGTGAGCAAGGGCGGCGGCCGGCCTCACCTCCCGAGGCTTCCCCGACCAGGTGTGGGTGCTGCCCAGCCTAGTTGGTAAAGTGGTTGGGCTTCCTGGGTGTCGCCGCCCCCACGGGACCCAGCCCCGCCTCTGAGAGCCAAGCCTCAGAGCCTCTGTGCTGAGGCGCTGCGCTGTCTCCACAGTACGTGTCGGAGGTGGTGATTGGGGCCCCATACTCGGTCACGGCTGAGCTCCTGGGTCACTTCAAGGTGAGAGGCTCCCCAGGAGGGGAGGGGAGGGGTGGGGAGGGGAGGGGAGAGCACCTGACTTCCTTCCTCGCTCCCTTCCCAGGTGGACCTGGTGTGTCATGGCAAGACGGAAGTTGTGCCTGACAGGGACGGCTCTGACCCCTACCAGGTGGGTGGCCCTGGCTCCTGCCACTCACCGGCTTGGGGACGGGGACGGCGCCTTTGGCACCTGTTGGTGTGACTGCCCCAGGGACAAGGACAGGCGCAGGGTCCCCTCTGGGGCAGCAGGGCCTGCGCGGCCCTGGTCCTCACTGCACCTCCCTTCGGGCCTCTAGGAGCCCAAGAGAAGAGGCATCTTCCGCCAGATGGACAGCGGCAGCGACCTCACCACAGACCTCATCGTGCAGAGGATCATCAAGAACAGGTAACGCAGCCCACCGCCCACTGCCCGCCGGCCTGGCCGTGGCCCCTCCTCCAGCTCTGATGGCAACCCGGGGCCCCCAGGTTAGAGTATGAGGCACGCAACCAGAAGAAAGAAGCCAAGGAGCTGGCCTTCCTGGAGGCCAGGAGGCAGCAGGAGGCACAGCCCGCCGCAGAGAACGCGTAGGCCTCACCGGAGGACTTACCCGGCGCGCGGGCACCCGGGGCCACCCCGTTCTGCTTCTGCCTCTCGGAGTTGGGTTCACAGGGTTCTCATGGGAGTGGCGGTGCCCCTCTCCCCGGCCTGGCTCCTGCGCGGCCAGCCCATTTGCCTGCAAGGCGCCAAGGCCTGTCCAGCCCCTTGGTGCAGCCCAGCAGGCCGGACCAGCAGAGGGTGCTGCCATGCCAGAAGCTCATGGAGGCCGCTTCCGTCCATCGGGTGCCCTGCCGCTCCCCTTGGCGAACATGGACACCTGTCCCGCCCGCCTGCCCGCCCGGCTGCAGGAGGCGCAGAGGAGGTGGCTGTGGAGCTGGGGTGTGGGCTGCTCCGTGGAGCCCGGCCCGTCCGGGACAGGTCCCGGCACCTCATGCCTGGCTCTGGGGAGATGCACGTGCCCGGCTGCCGGGCCCACCGGCTGCCCTGCCCTCAGACTTCCACCTCCGTTCTGCACCTCCGTGGCTGGTGTGAGTCTCTGGGCCACCGAATAAAGCTTGACGGGAAGTGCTGTGTGAGACCCAGCCCAGCAGGACGCAGGGCGACCCCGTGTGCCCGCCATAAGGGCCCACGATACATGGGGTCTGTCTCACCCCTCAGCGGGAGCTGGGGATGGGCTGGCTGCCCTGAGCCCCGGGGCCCGAGGGCGCCCCCGCCCAGTCACGGCCCAGCCCAGGCCCCCAGCTCTCAGAGCCGGAGAGCCAGCAGCTGGCCGCACAGCAGCCTGGGGGCAAAGGGGCCTCCTGACCAGAGGCCCTGCAGCCTGCGGTGCAACCCCGCTTGCGCCCCCAGGAAGGCTACTGCTGGCCTGGTCCTCCAGAGGGAGAGCCAGAAGGCCAAACCCCAAAGCAGGCCCTGCCCCACCGCACTCCTGGGGCCCGAGTCGGCAGGACCTGAGGCCTGTAGTGTCACCTGGGTGCACGGAGGGTCAGAGGCTTTGGACACCGGAGGGAGCCAGGGCCTAGAACATCACCCAGACGCCCTTCCTTCCCTGGGTGGGGGAGCGGAGAGGGCGAGGGGAGCCTCTGCTTGCCTGGGCAGGAGGCCAGGGCGCCGCAGGTCTGCACAGGCGTCCCAAGTACCTCAGAGGAGGCAGGTGGCGGGCGGAAGTGTGTAAATAGGGGGTGCACACATGCCCAGCGCAAACTTGCCAAGGCTCAGGATAGGGAAGGTGACGGCTGAGGATAACCCAGGGACACGGCTCGCAAGGAATCTGGGTTGAGGGTTCCAAGGTGCGGTGTGCAGGCAAGGCCTTCGTGGGCACGAGGAAAGCTGAGTTGCTGGGAGGAGCTGCCACGGAGGTGGGGTCACCCCAGGGGCAGGCTGGCGTGGGGCAGGCCAGGCTGGGGCCTCAGGGTGGACCCGGCCCGTCAGCCCATCAACTCGACGCCTGTGAACAGCTGGGCGTGGCAGGGGCAGCCCGCGGGCACGGCTCTGTGAACCCCCGTGCAGAGGGGCTGGGGGCCCTGGTCTGCGCCAGGGCTGACATCCCCAGACCTGGGCCACCACTCCTGCAGTAGTGCCCAGACCAGCGTGGGCTGCCCTCCCTACCATCCCCCATGGCAAGGCCCCATGCTGGCCCTGGTCCTCTGGGGCCACCAGACTGAGGACAGACCGGGCCTCTGGAGTCCATCTGGGCAGCCACCAGCTGTGCCCAGCTAGCTGCGCCTCTACCAGGAGAGATGGGCTGGCTGATGGCCAAGCCCTGTACTCCACTGCTACAGACACAGCCCGGGGCACCTGTCCGGCCAGGCTCTTGTCTGATCTCGTGGTGGTTGTGACCCAGGATTCCATTATAAATATGCGTGTTTTCACACCAAAACACACTTTCGCTAATATGCCAAAAACACAGGCCTCAGAGGCTTCCAGCGAGGCTCAGGGACTTCTGGGAGTTTTACTTTATTGAATAGAAGCTTGGCCGCCGGGCGGGCGTCAGCGCGGGCGGGCGGGCTCACTCCTTGAACTTCCACTCCTGGCGGCACATGGGGCAGTGCTGCTGCACCTGCTGCGCGTTGAGCCACTTGAGGATGCAGTGCATGTGGAAGCAGTGCGAGCACTGGCCCCACACCAGCGGGCAGTCGTCTCCCGGGACCTTACCTGTGGGCAGGCGGGCGGGGCGTCAGACCGCTCAGGCCACCAGGTGAATCCAGAGGTGACCACCCCACAAAGCACCGCAGGTGGTAAGCCAAGGTGGTGGAAGCCTCCAGCACTCAGCCTGGGGAGGCAGAAAAAAGGCCCCTCCCAGGCCTGTCTCCACACCTGGCCTAGAGTACTAAGAAAGGAGGTGCCAGAGGGGCAGGTGGGAGAGGGTGAGGACCCGTCCCTAACAGCAGGACCCAGGATCCGGGCCGCTGCGGTGTCTCTGGGCCAGCTAACTCACTCCCACCTCCAGCAGGGCACAGGCTGCAGGCATCCAGTCCACCCCAGGGTCCACCCTGGGGCCTGACGTGGCTGACTCCATTCACAGGGTGCAGCGCAGTAGGGGAAGGTCCCAGTCCTGATCAAGAGCAACGATGATCCTTAATTTCTATTTTTTGTTGGCTGTGGGTCTTGAACTCTGGGCCTGGGCGCTGTCCCGTCCCTCAACTCTTCAGCTCAAGGTAAGCGCTCTACCACTTGAGCCACAGCGCCACTTCTGGTTTTCTAGTGGTTTATTGGAAATAAGAGTCTCACAGACTTTCCAGCCCGATCCTCAGATGTCGGCCTCCTGAGTAGTTAGGATGACTGGCACCTGGCATGATTCCTAATTTCTACGCATCTGAATCACCCTTCAGAGGAGCTTGTTTGAGCAGCACAGAAAAAAATACCTCTAGGTCCTGTCTCTATCGGGGTTAGGCTGACTGGCACCAAGGGGCTAGCTCTATCTGCCTCCAACCTGTCCTGGAGCGCCAGCCCCCAGACACCTCCCTCCTCAGAGGGTCTTTCCACTTTCAGCAGAGCCCTGCTTAAAATCACCCCTTCCCGGTGAGCGTGAAGCTGGGGAGCCCTGGCAAGGGGCACTCAATCTGTCCACCAGCAGGAAGCTGGTGTGGCTCTGGGTCCAAGTCACGCAAGGATGTGCTAGTGTGTTAATGAGGCTATTTTAAAATTAAAACACCCCTTGGGGCTGGGAAGGTGGCTCAGTGGTAGAGCGCTTGCCTTGAATGCCTGAAGCCCTGGGTTCGATTCCTCAGCACCACATAAGCAAAATGAAAAAAACCAGAAGTGGCACTGTGGCTCAAGTGGTAGAGCACTAGCCTTGAGCTGAAGAGCTGAGGGACAACGCCCAGGCCCAGAGTTCAGGCCCCACGACCGGACCCCCCACCAAAAAAAAAACACCCCTTAACAGGACTGCTTTACCCAAAGGCCCTTTGGGAAGACTTATTAACTTAGCCTTGGTAACTTGGGTTCACATGTTCAATTAAAAATTTTAGGGCTACCAGATGCCCATGGCTCACGCCTGTAATCCTAGCTACTCAGGAGGCTGAGATCTGAGGATTGTGGTTCAAAGCCAGCTTGGGCAGGAAAGTCCGTGAGACTCTTATTTCCCATAAACCACTAGAAACCGGAAGTGGCGCTGTGGCTCAAGCGGTAGAGCGCTCACCTTGAGCTGAAGAGCACAGGGATAGCACCCAAGCCCAAAGTTTAAGCCTCACGACCGACCAAAAAAAAAAAAAAAAATCCACACACACATACACAAAAAAAAAAAAATCTAGGGCTTCTTAATCTGCCAGAAGGTACATCAGAACTGTCAACACATATTAAAACACTCATTCTAGCAAAGCCCGGGCAGCTCGCACCTTAATTCTAGCTACATAGGGGACTGGGATCTGAGGAACCTGGTTCAAAGCCAACCCAGGGAAGGAAAGTCTGTGACTCCAATAAACCATTCAGAAAAAACCGGAAGTAAAATTGTGGCTGGTAGAGCACTAGCCTTGAGCAAAAGCAGCTCAGGGCCAGCGCCCAGGCCCTGAGTTCAAGCCCGGCACCAAGAAAAAGAAAATAGGCTTTTGAGAGCTGCACGAGGCCAAGAGCTTGAAAGCTGCTTTAAGTTCTCGCCCTCAAGATGGTTTTGTTGTTGTTTTTTGTTTGTGCCAGTCCTAGGGTTTGAAACCCAGGGCCTAGGCGCTGTCCCTGAGATTTTTACTCAAGGCTAGTGTTCTGAGTTACAGTGCACTTCCAGCTTTTTGGTGGTTAATTGGAGATAAAAGTCTCACACTTTTCTGCCTGTGCTGACTAGACATCGATCCTCAGATCTCACCATGAGTAGCTAGGATTATAGAAAGGAGCTGTGGGTGCCCTATTTTTGAAGCATCCTCAAGAGTGATTTATTATTTTGCCAGTCCTGGGGCTTGGGCTCAGGGCCTGGGCTCTGTTCCTGAGCCTTTCTATACTCAAGGCTAGCACTCTACCACGTGAGCCACAGTGCTACTTCTGAGTTATTGAGTAATTTATTGGAGCAAGAGTCTCATGGACTTTCCTGCCAGGCTGGCTTCAAACCACCGTAATCCTCAAATCTCAGCCTCCTGAGTAGCCAGGATTACAGGTATAAGCCACTGGCTCTGGCTTGAGTGATATGATCTGTGTGCATGGCTGTTACTGGGGCTTGAACTCAGGGCTTGTACTCATTTTTTAGTTCAAGCTACCATTTGAGCTATATCTCCATTTCAGACTTTTTGCTGGTTAATTAGAACTAAAACTGAGTTTGATTATAGGTGCTAGGCTTTAAGAGTGGTTTAGCAGGGATTAAATAAAACTAGACCTGGACTGGTCTCTAACCTTGAATGCTACAGGTAAAACCTAATGAAGCCAAGTCAATACTCTTTTATGGATGATTCTGTGAGTCGTGAAGGAGCTGGCTGGGCACGCTACTTGAAAATTTTCACTCGAGGTTTTAACTTTACTACTTGGGCCCCAGCGCCAGTTCTTTTTCTGGTGGCTCACTGGAGGTAAGAGTCTTCAGCTCAAGGCTAGCGCTCTACCACTTAAGCCACAGCGCCACTTCCAGCTTTTTTCTTATGTGGTGCTGAGGAATTGAACCCAGGGCCTCAGGCATGCAAGGCAAGCGCTCTACCACTGAGCCACCTTCCCAGCCCCTTTTTTCTTTCTTTTTTGGTAGTACCAGGGATTTAACTCAGGGCCCAGTGTGGTTCCTTAGCAAATACTCCGGCATTGACATTTGAGCACACCTTAAACCTATCAAAGATTTAACACATCCCCACCCATCTCTTTGCACCTGGTTGGATTAAGGCCTGGGCAGTAAAATTTCTTTTCAGCCCAGGGAGTGTAAAAATCAAGCACAAACTCATAATCTCATCCTTCAGGTGACTGGAAGATCCCAACTTTGAGGCCAGCCTGGGCTACACAGTGAGAACCTGTCCTTTCCCCAAAAAAAGCCTGGCACTGATAGCTCACACTTCCTACTCAAGAGGCTGAGATCTGATTGCTGTGTGAAACCAACAGTCAGGAAAGTGTGAAACTATCTCCAACTAACCAACAAAAAGCCAGAAGTGGAGCTGTGACTCAACGGATAGAGCTAGCCTTCAACAAAAGCCTCAGGAAGCAGCTGCCAATGGCTCACGCCTATAATCCAACTCAGGAGGCTGAGATCTGAGGATTGAAGCCAGCTCAGGCACGGAAGTCCATGAGACTCTTCTCTCCAATTAACCAGTCAAAACTGGAAGTACTGGGGATGTAGCTCAGTGGTAGAGCGCTTGCCTAGCATGCATGAAGTCCTGGGTTTGATTCTTCAGTACCACATACACAGAAAAAGCCAGAAGTGATGCTGTGGCTCAAGTGGTAGAGGCTTGCCTTCAGCAAAAGCAGCTCAGGGACAGTGCCCGAGCATTGTGAGTCCAAGCCCTAGGACTGGCAAACAGGAAAAAAAGAACTGGAAGTAGCACTGTGGCTGAAGTGGTAGAGCGCTACCACTTGAGTGAGTGGGTGAGCACAAAGAAGACTCAGGGACAGCCACCGACAAAAGAGTGAAAAACCAAAAAACCTCTCAGCAACAGTGCCCAGAGTTCAAGCCCCAGAATCAGCACCAAAATGTAAAAAAAATTAAAACAAAAAATGTATGTGAAAACACACACGCACACACATGCACACACACACGCACACACACACACCACACACGCACACACACACACCACACACGCACACACCACACATGCACACAGCACACACACCACACACGCACACACACCACACACATGCACACACACCAAACGCACGCACACACATACACACACCACACACGCACGCACGCACACACCACACGCACGCACACACACCACACACATGCACACACACCACACACACACACACCACACATGCACACACGCACACACACACACCACACATGCACACACGCACACACACACACCACACATGCACACACGCACACACACACACCACACATGCACACACGCACACACACCACACACGCAGGCACGCACACCACACATGCACACACCACACACACGCACACACACCACACACACGCACACACACCACACACATGCACACACACCACACACACGCACACACACCACACACGCACGCACGCACCACACGCACGCACACACCACACACATGCACACACACAACACACACGCACACACGTACACACACCACACACACGCACACACGGAGCCTGACCCCCGCCGCAGGCTCTCTAGGCCAGTTCTGGCTCCTTGCTAGTGAACGGCTCTTGGCCTGGCTCTGAACCGGCTCCCGGAGCTCGGCTTCCCGAGCGGCTGGGCTATGAGTCGGCTGCACCCACTGAGAACAGTGTTCTTCTAAAGTTTTCGCGGGGCAGAGCTGACCTGCCTCAGTCTCCCCAGGGGGGCCGTGCGCCGCCCCTGGGCCTCTGTGAGTGCGGGGTGCCGAGGACTCGAACCCCGGGCTCCCAGCCGCCCCCACCCCGGCGGGTGTTCGGGAAAGGGCGGCGGACCCTTCGCCCGGTGAGAGGCTGGAGGGGCGGCGGGCCGGGCAGGGGTCCCGAGGCCCGGGCAGGGTCGCGGGCAGGGGTCCCGAGGCCCGGGCAGGGTCCCGAGGCCCGGGCAGGGTCGCGAGCAGGGTGCGGGCAGGGGTCCCGAGGCCCGGGCAGGGGTCCCGAGGCCCGGGCAGGGGTCCCGAGGCCCGGGCAGGGTCGCGGGCAGGGTCGCGGGCAGGGTCCGGGCAGGGGTCCCGAGGCCCGGGCAGGGGTCCCGAGGCCCGGGCAGGGTCGCGGGCAGGGTCGCGGGCAGGGGTCCCGAGGCCCGGGCAGGGTCCCGAGGCCCGGGCAGGGTCGCGGGCAGGGTCCGGGCAGGGCCCCGCGCGGGTCACTCACAGTCCGGGCAGCAGCCGTTGAAGGCCATCCTGCAGATGCCGCAGTTCTCGTCGTTGGCCACCCACAGCCAGGTGGCCACGCCGTTCCAGCACTTGATCTTCACCTTCATGGCGCCGGGGCCTGCGGGAGGAGCACAGCCCGCTGCAGCGCGGTCCGGGGGACGCCTCGGGGGCCCGGGGACGCCGCCCCACTCCCGGGGGCCGGGGCCAGGCCGCGGAGCGCCCGGCGCCGCCCGGGAAGGGGCCCCGCGGGGCGCAGCGCGCGCCCGGCCCGCGTCGCCGCCCTCGGGGGGCTGAGACCTACACCCGCGAAGGCCACGCCGGCTTCCGTCGGTGGGGCGCGAAGATCTCGGGGCCTCCGGCCTCGGGGAAGCAGAAAGAGGCCCGCCGCCGCCCGCGCCCGCCTGCGCCCGCCGAGGCGCCAAGGGAACGCAGCCGGAGGCCCGGGACCCCAGCCGGACGCCGGAACTGCCAGGGAGAGGCCCCGGGGGCCGGCCCCGCCCCCGGCCGAGCGGCCCCGCCCCCGGCCCCGCCCCCCGGCCGAGCGGCCCCGGCCCGGCCCGCCCATCTGCCTCCGGGCCCGCCCGCCTCCCGGCCCGCCCGGCCCGCCCGGCCCGCCCGGCCCCGCCCCCGCCGCCCCACCTCTCCGCGCGCCGCCCCGCCCTTCCGTTGGCGGCGCCGGCGTCGCGCGGGAAGGTACAAAAACGTCCGCGGCGCGGCCGGCGCCTCAGAGCAGCGCCCGCCGCCCCTCGCGCCCAGCACGCTCGCTCCGGCCCGCGCCACTCGCGCCGCGGCCAATCAGCTGCCGCCCCGGGCCGCCTCGCCGGAAGGCCGCGCGCGACGCCGGACGTGACGAGCGGGCGTGCTGACGCGCGGGCTCGAGCCGAGGCCCGATCCGCGCCCGCCATGGCCGACAAAATGGATATGTCTCTGGACGACATCATTAAGCTGAACCGGAGCCAGCGGGGCGGCCGCGGCGGGGGCCGGGGCCGCGGCAGGGCCGGCTCGCAGGGCGGCCGCGGCGGCGGGGCGCAGGCCGCCGCGCGGGTCAGCCGGGGCGGCGGGCCCATGCGGAACCGGCCGGCCATCGCCCGCGGCGCCGCGGGCGGCGGCGGCGGCGGCCGGAACCGGCCGGCGCCCTACAGCCGGGTGAGTGCGGGGCCGGGCGGGGCGGCGGCGCGGGGCGGCGGCGCGGGGCGGGGCCGGGCCCGGCGGCGGCGGCGGCGGCGGCGGCGGGGACCCCGCCGGGCGCTTTGTCCTGCGCCGCCGGGGGCCGCGTGGCGCGCGCCGAGGGGCCGCGGGCGCCGCCGGGGGCCGGGCTGCGGGGCTCACCGGCCCGCTCCGCCCGCAGCCCAAGCAGCTTCCCGACAAGTGGCAGCACGACCTCTTCGACAGCGGCTTCGGCGGCGGCGCCGGCGTGGAGACCGGGGGCAAGCTGCTGGTGTCCAACCTGGACTTCGGAGTGTCGGACGCCGACATCCAGGTAGGCGGCGCGGGCGACCGCCGGGCTCAGATCGCTGCTCCGGAGGCTGACACGGCGCCCCGGCTCCCACCGAAGCTTCTTGGGTCTGCCCGTTCCCACTTGGTCTTTTTTAACGAAAGCCAAAGGCACGGAAGGTGGTTTTCTGGCTAGACACAACTTGTTGGGAATGAGACTTGGAGGCGAGAGGCAGTGCCGGGCCTTCCGGGGTCTTCTTCCCCGAGTCCCTCCATCAGGTCGGCCTGGCGAGCGCGAGACACCCCGTGGCACTCACAGTGTCTCCGCACTCGGGAGCAGCCCCGCACTCCGGGGTCCCTCTCGCAGCGCCCAGCCTGCCTGAGGTCAGGGCTGCCTCCGTGGCCTGCTTGACTTCAGACTTTGCGGCAGGCTTGAGTTGGAGGAGAGTTTTGGAAAGGTGAGACAATGTGTCTGGGGGTGAAGGGTGGGGTCCGGCGCGCCAGTATCAACGGGCCCTAACCGCTGCTCTGGTCTGCTGGACATCTTCCTCCTTGGCTTTTACTCCTGACCTTCTACTGTTTCATCAAGCAGTCCCTAGGCATTTGTAAGTCTTCCTTTGCTAAGCAGGATGATGACTTAAGTTTTGTGTCCTAGGCCTAGGTTGTGTTCTAGGTTTCTAGGGAGGCACTGGGCCTCTAAACCCCTATGTCCTTGGAAGCGGGCGATTCTGTCCCCTTCCTCCAGCTCCTTTACCCTTTGCCCTGCCCCCTCTGGTTGCCAGGGAAGCACCGCCCCCACCCCCAGCCCTCATGCTGGTAGGGACTCCAAGGCCACCATAAGGAAAACAAGTTAGGTGCCATGCTAACGGTCCCCTATCTGATTCTTAGGAACTGTTTGCTGAGTTTGGAACCTTAAAGAAGGCTGCTGTGCACTACGATCGCTCTGGGCGCAGCTTAGGAACAGCAGATGTGCACTTTGAACGCAAGGCAGATGCCCTGAAGGCTATGAAACAGTACAACGGTGTTCCTTTGGATGGTGAGTCTGGGGCTGGGCCCAAGAGCCTGCCGGGCTTGTGGAATTTGGGGCTGGCACCTGTCCCTGTAGGAATATGGGCTGCCCCTCTGGTGGAGGACACTTTGCATTTGCCCCCTTTGTCTCTCTCTTCCATTCTGCCACCTCTCATGCTGCCCCACACATCTGGACCAACCTCTTGTGAACCCCCATCCAGCAAGCTACATCCCTCCCCTCCTTCAGCTCCTTCCGGAAGATTCACTTCTGTGAAGCCTTCTCAGAACCGCCATAGTACACCTGAGTGCGGGGCTGTAGTCGTAAGATAAAGGTACCTGTTCTTCTTCCGCCAGGTCACCCACACCTGTCCACCCATGAGCACCCCAGACACCTGACCAAACAGCCCTCTTAGCCTGAACTGAGAAGGAGAGACGTGTCGGTGGGGTGTTGTCCTTGCCACTTTGTCTTCCCACCAGGCTCTCCAGGCCATCTCCCCATTGGGGGCATTGGAGACGCACAGAGGCCCTTTCCAGAGCTTGCATGGAGACCAGGGTGTGGGATCCTTGGGTCAGCATCAGAGCCTCTGGAATGAGAACTCTTGTATTCTTTGCCACAGGCCGCCCCATGAACATCCAGCTTGTCACATCACAGATCGATACACAGCGGAGACCTGCACAAAGGTGAGTTCTGGGGGCTTTGAGATGGGCCGTGATGCTGATCATCCTTCCCCTGGTGGTCTCTCCTAGCTAAACCAACGAGTTCTTTGTGTTCTCCCTAGCATAAACAGAGGTGGCATGACTAGAAGCCGTGGCTCTGGAGGATTTGGCAGTGGTGGTGGCACTCGAAGAGGGACCCGTGGAGGCAGTAGAGGAAGAGGCAGAGGCACGGGCAGGAACTCAAAGCAGCAGCTATCAGCAGAGGAGCTGGACGCACAGCTGGATGCCTATAATGCCAGGGTGAGTCCTGTGGAGACTGTGCCGAAGCCAGGGTGGGACAGTGCTCGGCCCCAGGCCCACTAGAGCCAGAAGCACCAGCACCTCCTGAGTGAACCTTCCCCTCTGTTTCAGATGGACACCAGTTAAGCAGCAAGCCCTCGCCGGCAACAGGACCCAGGCTGCGTCCACGCCCCCTCCCTGGAGGGGAGGGGGCAGCTGGGCTGTGCGGCCAATCGGATTCATTTCTTTTGTTTTAAAATAGGATTTAAAACTCATGTAAAGCCCCCTCCCCTTCTTTCTTTTTTCTTTCTTTTTTTTTTTTTTTTTAATTCTGAAACAGACCTGTTTTGTACCGAGTTATTTTTGGGATAAATTTTACTGGTTGCTGTTGTGGGGAAGGTGACGTTTTCACCTTTGCCATAATAAAATAGAAATGTGTGTAGAACAGAGCAGTCTGCCTGGTTCGTCCCCTTGCTGATCGCTGCGAGAATTTGTAGCTGTTACTTTCTTCTCCCCACTGTTCAAACTTACTCTCTGCAGGTGTGTGGTAACTGAGCACATGGCTCAGCCTGGAGCTGCCTGTCCATCCTCCACCACCCTTCACCTTGGGGTGGAGGGAGGGAGTGGGGCACAACAGGCCCTTCATTTCTCCATTTCCCATGACCCTACGTTCCTGGGCTGTTCATTTTACGCTTCATACCTGGTCTCACAGAAGCCTGGATTGGACATTTCAGACTCACAGTGCTGTCCCTTAACTGTGGTGGTTCTTCAGTGTCCTGGACCATGTTGTTTCTGGAAAAAATGACAAGAATGCACATCCTGTGGTGCTTTACTTTTCTGTTAGTTTACATGTACGTTTGTGTGTGTGTGTGTGTGTGTCTGTCTGTCTTGTCTGTCTGTACACCCTGGGGCTTGAACTAAGCTTTTATCCTTAAGCTTTTATACTCAAGGGCAGCATTCCACCATCTGAGCTACAACTCCAGATTTTGGTTTTGGGTGGTTAATTAGAGATAGAGTTACAGATTTTGCCTGGGCTGACTTCAAACTTAGATTTCAGTTCCACCAGCATCCAGCTTCTCTAACAGGATTTTGCTTTTTTAAAAAATATATATACTAGGGTGGCCTAGACCATGATTTTATCCATGTTTTCCACATAGCTAGAGGGACAGGTATATACCGCCATACTGCCTGGGTTCTTACTGGTCCACTTGAGATTTTGTAGACTTCTTGCCCAGACTGGCCTCAGAATTTCTTGCTATCTCTTAATCCTGAGTAGCTAAGATTATGGGCATAATCCTAAGTGATACTGGTTATTTAAAGTACTTAATAAAAAACATGGGCTCACATCTATAATCAACTACTCAAAAAGGCTGCGATCTGAGGATCATGGTGTCAAGCCAGCCCAGGCAGGAAAGTCTGTTAGACTCACATCCAATTAATCACAGAAAAAAGCTGGAATTGGGATGCTGTGGCTTGAGTGGTAAAGTGCTAGCCTTGAGCAAAAGGAGTTCAGGGACAGAGCCCTGGCCCAGAGTTCAAGCCGGAGGACAGGCACCAAATAAAAATAAATGTAAGTGGTTACATTGTATTGCATAGTGAATAATGACTGAGTCACTTAATTGACTGCAAGGAGAGCTAGCTGAACTTGGTCAAAAAATAACTAGTGGAAGAACATAGCCAGGCCAGGTGTGACGGTGGGTGCCTATACCCTTGTAAGAAAAGACAACAGGTTTTTATTTGAAGGAAAGCCTGGCATGAACAGTAAAGTCTACAGCTGAGTTGAAGGGGAAACGGTACGCCTCCTTTATTTTTATTTTTTGGCGGTTATGGGGCTTGAACTCTGGGCCTGGGCGCTGTCCCTCAGCTCTTCAGCTCAAGGCGAGCGCTCTACCACTTGAGCTACAGCGCCACTTGAGCTGGGGCTCCGGCGGGGAGCTGGCTCCCTGGCCCTGCCCTCCACTCTGGGGCCTGCCAGTAGAGGCCAGAGGCAGGAGAGCCCCTGCGCTGCTGAAGGCTGTTTGTGCGTCCCCGGCTGCGTGCGGGGCGGCTCTGCGGGGCCAGCGGTGTCTGCGGGGCCTGTGCACGGGGCAGGAACATCACAAGG